ATGGTCTCAAGTTGCAGTGGGGGAGATTTAGGTTGGATATTAGGAAAAACTTTTTCACTATGAGGGTGGTGAAACACTGGAATGCGTTACCTAGGGAGGTGGTGGAATCTCCTTCCTTTGAAGTTTTTAAGGTCAGGCTTGACAAAGTCCTGGCTGGGATGATTTAATTGGGGATCGGTCCTGCTTTGAGCAGGGGGTTGGACTAGATGACCTCCTGAGGTCCCTTCCAACCCTTATATTCTATGATTCTATGATTCTATGATATACAAACCCCTCAATTATGCAGCCCTTATAAATAGCAGGTTTTCTCTCCAGCCATTCACCTAGTCTTGTATAAATGGATTTCCAGACTATATAATAATAACATGTTTTTGTCACAATTAACTTTCTGCGGCCCCAATGAAATTGACCATCAAATTTGGCCTGAATAAAGACTGGGAGTGGTTGGGTCATTAGAAAACCTAAACCTAATTTCCCCCATACTAATTTCCCCCTACTATTACTCACACCTTCTTGTCAGCTGTTTGATAAGGGCCACTCTCATTACCACTACAAAAGTTATTTTCCCTCCCTTGGTATCCTGATGTTAATTGAATTGTCTCGTTAGACTGACCTCAGACTTGCTAAGGCAACTCCTATCTTTTCATATATTTATACCTGCTCCTGTATTTTCCACTCCATGCATCTGATGAAGTGGGTTGTAGCCCATGAAAGCTTATGCCCAAATAAATTTGTTAGTTTCTAAGGACTCGTCATTGTTTTTGCTGATACAGACTAACACAACTACCACTCTGAAACCTGTCACCATTTCCTTTGTGATTTTACCCCAATTATAAAATTCTCTCTAGATTTTCAACATCCCTTTAAAAATATGCACTCCAGCCAGAACTGTAGGCAGAATTCAATTATTGATCTCCCCAATGAAGTCTACAGATGGAAAATCACCTCTCTCCTATTCTCTGCTCTAATTTCTTTCCTGATGTATTTAGATTTCCTCATCAAATTTCCACATTCAGAACTTCCAATTTACATCGATTGCTACCAACTGCCTCATTTTTCCATTTAAAAAATAATAATTTCTGCTTCCTTCATGTCACCACTGGACCATGATGGGGTTTCAGCCAGAGTGTTCATAGATACTATAACCCTCTGCAAACTGCATCTAATTTGCTACATCTGTTTTAACCCTCCATGGCCGAATGGGATCAGGAATCATAAGGAACTACGTACAGAATCACGGTGGACCAAATTCAGTAGTTTTAAGAAAGAAAGAAAGAAAGAAAGAAAGAAAGAAAGAAAGAAAGAAAGAAAGAAAGAAAGAAAGAAAGCACAATATTTGCAAACCAGTGTCTTATTTTTTTAGATTGGGATATTCAATTATATTCAAAGAGATATGAGCATTTAATTCCCTTAGGATCACTGCTTTGCTTACTTATTTTCCCAGCAGTTCTTGTCCACACAATAATGCTTGACTTTCATCTCTGTAGGGAACACTTGGCTTGTTATTCACAGACCAGTAACCCTCATGTTGTTCGGACATTCTGCCCCAGGGGAGCCATCCAGAAAATGGAAATTGTTTTCCCCCTGTGGTGCGAATATGATAAAAAGGCCCATTTGTTCCACAGATTCAGCACAACCGTCCTGATATTCAAGTCAGTAAAAGATCACATATCTCTTCCTTTCTGAACAGACAGAAATTCCTACTATTTCTCCTCAGTGCCCTTTCATGCCAGCGATTGTTACTGTTTCCATTACAAGGAGGACCAAAACCTCCCTGGCTGAGCTCTAAGAAAACAGCATGAAAGAGTCACCAAGGGTAAGATTTTCAAACTGCTTCAGACTCCTTTGAAAAGCTTCTGACTCCACAAAGGCAAGTAGCCATAACAGCCAATGCTTGTAAGACAACCTGGCTCAGTGAGTAGAGCACAGGGTTACAAATCAGGACAGCTGGGGTCTGTTCCCCGCTTCTGCCATGACTAGCTGATGTAAGACCTTGGAAAATTTGTTTCCCCTTTCTCAGTTTTGTTTGTTTAGGCTGGCTCTTCAGGGCAGGGATTGTCTCTAGCACAATGGGGCCATAGGTGTTTCCATAGGTAAAATAATTTTCTTTCTTTCTTTCTTTCCTTTCTTTCTTTCTTTCTTTCTTTCTTTCTTTCTTTCTTATCTGGCCTCCAACACAGTGAGCAGAGTTACTCTTGGTTTGCAACAGCCTTGCTGAAGGCAGCATGTGGATAATGTCCTTCTCTCATATTGCCCTCTCATCAAGGCTTGTTTTCTTTCTGTTACACTTTCGTTTGAGAGAAGGGAGTGTGGGGGACTAAGGGAGGAGGATATGGGGGACAACATGCAAAGAGGGGCTGTCAGACAGACAGATCTGATGCATTCATTGCCTTCAGGAAGTTGATTCCATGGCCAAGATGTTCAATCATAGGAACCAAAAGAAACTACCCTGATATGTGGAATTAGATAACCCCCCAAAACTGAGAAAAGCTTATAGGCTGGGACTTTCAAAAAGGCCTAAGGGCTCTTGGTGCCAAGCCTCATATTGATAGTCACAGGGACATGGATGCCTAACTTCCAGCCCATAAACCATATTTAGCACCCAGCAGCTCCCTGGCTAAGTCACAGTTGCCCTACATCTGTTGGATCCACAGTAGAGTAGAAAGAGCAGCCCAATGCAGATGAGCTAGTGGGAAGCTCCTGTCTTCTCCCATTCCCCTGATCTCTTGACTAGCAGCTGTCTGCTGACAGCTCATGTAGTTTATTGTGTAGTGTAAGTGATAAGAGCTCGGGGTTCAGGATTAAACCCCGCTGAGAAGGCATGAAGGGGGGCTCTTATAGCTGCACAGAATAAGAATTAATGCACAAAAGAACATTATTTAAGTTGCAAAGTCAAATACTACACACAGCAGCTGGGAAATGCCAGGTTCTACAGCTTCTGTGTAACCTTACCTCTGCCCCCTTGTGCGTATGCATTATGATACACTCTTTCATTGCATGATCATATACTGTTTTGTTCCACAAGAGATCTGTCTTGTTCAGTGCATAGGATGGATGAACAATGGGCAGAATTATGGCTGCATGGCAACTGTATACCACCAGGCTTGACTTTGCAACTTAAAAATGCACCCAGTTTGTAAACTGATCCAGATAACTCGATATCAGCGACCTGTCCTCTTCATTATTTACAATCCCCCTTTTTATGATTTTTGTATGTTAAACCCTGAGAATTCTTTTATAGGCTAGACAACAGCCTTTTACATTTTTTGTATCTATACATTTATTGTCCTACATATATTTCAGCTAAAAAAAGTTCCCTGTCCTTCAATTTAACCTAATGGGTGAAGGGAAAATGGTCTCTACAATGGAATGTGTGTAACATTTTTACCCTGTCTTTACTAATACAGACCAGGTGTCCAGGGAAAAGACCCTACAGACCAGGTGTCCAGAGAAAGGACCCCTCAAACTAATCAAAGTGTCTACAAATGTATGTTATAAAGAAAAGTGGATGGTTGATAAGGGACACTTGTAATTGCACAGGGGTTCTGCCATGGAGGAAAGTAATGACCCACTGAAAGATGTTTTTAACTCATTGAGAACTGTTGGTTGTCACAGCTCTTAGTCATAATGTCCAGGTTAGAGATTACATTTTACTCGCCACTCAGGTAAACTGAGAACCATAAAAGACAGTCTATCAGTAATTAGGAAAACAGAACACATGGTGGAGTTAAGCTTGGGAAAGGATTTTCCCCCCAGAAAGGGAGTTTGGTTGTCTCACAACCTATAAAACAAAAGTTAGAGTCGGTATGAATACTGTCAGCATTCCATCAGGTACAGAGAAAGGGCCCAAACTGACTTCTCTTCATCATCTACAGGGGATGGTAAAGTGTCTATATTTTCTGTATTCTTCATAGTACTGTATTAAACTTTGATTAATAATCTTCTATTAATAATGCCATTTGAGCCTGTTATTTGACAATCTTGAATCATTATTAAATTAAAACATGCAACTTTTGTGTCATCTGAAAACTTTATGATTTCTTCTAGGTCATTAATAAAAATGTTCAATAGCATATGAACAAGAATTGAGCCCTGCGGGATCCCATTAAAAACACACCTGTTTGATCATGATTCCCTGTTTATTGTGAGATTCTGATACCTATCATTTAGCCAGTTTGTAACCCATATAATGTATGCCATACTAATTTTGTCTCTTTCAATTTTTTAAATCAAATTGTCATACATTACCAGATCAAACACTTTACAGAAGTCTAAGTATATTGCATGAACTCTATTTCTTTTATCAGCCAAAATGGTGCTATCTATCAATGTTATTTTCCATAAACCCACGTGGATTCAAATTAATTATGCTATACTCCTTTAATTATTTATTAATCAAGTCTTGTATTAGCCACTCCATGCCTGGAAATTATGTCAGACTGAGATACCTATAGTTACTTGGGTCATCCCGTTTATCCTTTTATAAGAATGGGCCCATCATTAGATTTCTTTCAGTCTTCTGGAACTAACCCAGTGTCCCAAAGTTAAGGAAAATCAATATCAATCCAGTGACCTCCTTAGCCAGCTTTTTTAGGTTGCAACATAACACTATTTTATTTCTTAGAATGTAGAAGGACTACATGCAAAAATCCAAAAACAAAGAGAGAAAACAGGCTGCTCCCTGAGGCAGAGAGGCACAAGCATGTGAGCATGACAAGAAAAACACCCCCCCCCACACACAGACACAAACACACTTAAAGTGATACCTTGCACTCCCAGTACAGTCCTCAGTACCACAATGTAGATATAAATATACGCCACACATTATCCCTCTTAGCCCCCATTACTTTATCTGTGAAATTGGGATGTTACCCCACAGCGGCCATGGGAAGGGTTAATTAATACCTGGCAGGCACTGTGTGGCCCTTAGATGGAAGGTGTGTATAGAAATAAAAAACATGGGGATTGCTGCATTTCTTTCTATTCTGGCATTTCCTGTTCCCCCTGCAGTGATGGAGAACCAGACAGAAGTGGGCGAGTTCATCCTCCTGGGCCTGACCAACCTCCAGGAGCTGCAGTGCTTCCTTTTCACTCTCTTCCTGCTTCTGTACATGGCCAGCGTGCTGGGGAATGGGGCTATCATGGCCGTGGTGCTGGCCGAGCCCCGGCTCCACACCCCTATGCACTTTTTCTTGGGCAACCTCTCCTGCCTAGACATCTGCTACTCCACGGTCACCATGCCCAAAATGCTGGCTGGCTTCCTCTTGAAACACCAGATCATCTCCTTCACCAGCTGCCTGGTCCAGCTCCATTTCTTCCACTTCCTTGGCAGCAGCGAGGCTGTGCTGTTGGCCGTCATGGCCTATGACCGCTATGTGGCCATCTGCAACCCACTGCGTTACAGGCTGGTCATGAGCACACAGGTCTGCCTGCTCCTGGCAGCAGCCACCTGGTCCAGTGGTTTCCTGCATGCCCTGATGCACACAGTCATGACCTCCCAGCTGCATTTCTGTGGCCCCAACCATGTCCACCACTTCTTCTGTGACATAAAACCGCTGCTGAGCCTGGCCTGCAGCAGCACCCGCCTCAACCTGAGCCTCCTCAACATCATCACCAGAGGCATTGTGATAGGTCCATTCATACTAACACTCCTCTCCTACCTGTACGTCATCTACTTCCTCCTGTTTAAAAAAGCCGGCGCTCTGCGAACCAGCTGAGCGGCGGGGAACCAGCTGAGCAGCGGGGGACAGCAGAGCAGCAAACAGCAGGAGTTTGCCTGAGATCTGTGTTGGTGAGTATCTGGGTATCTGAGTGTGTGTTTGGTGAGAGGATTGGAGTGTTTGTAGTGAGGGCAGCTTGAAAGTTTGAGCGAGTGCTTGATTGGTTGGCTGAAAAGGGCGGGAGTTGGGAGTGTTTTGTTTCAGGTGAGCCTGGCTGTTTAAAAAAGCCGGCGCTCCACGAACCAGCTGAGCAGAGGGGAACCAGCTGAGCAGCGGGGGACAGCAGAGCAGCAAACAGCAGGAGTTTGCCTGGGAGTTCGCCTGGAGTGAGCCCACTGAGGCTTACACCCTAACGACTTCTCTGAGTAATTACTGCATCTCCTGAGGAAGCTCGTAGTAGGAAGGTAATATGGATGGGGAGTGTTCAACTGTTGTGACCTGCACTGGATGTGCCATGTTTGTCTTTCTTCCACAGGACAGAAGCGACTTTATGTGTACAAAGTGCAAGCTGGTCTCCATATTGGAAGAGAAGGTTCAAGGTCTGGAGCGACAGGTATCGACCCTGCGTTGCATCAGAGAAACTGAAGATTTCCTGGACAGACGTCAGGATGCGCTTCTACAGGCACACGGTTCTGAAGATTCAGAGCAGGCTGCGCAGCACGGACAGGAGGACGGTGAAGAAATTTGGCAACATGTTTTGGTTCCCCCAGAAGAAGAAGGGGGAGCGTCCATGTACCAGCAACGCGGATACAGGTAAGTAACCGTTTTCATGTTCTCTCCAAAGGTACATTGCAGGGAGTGGCCCAGATGACACGTCTGGGGGAAGGGAGCAGAAGGAGACTCCACCAGTTGAAAGGCATGAGATGCGATGTCCTAAGGTTGGAGGTTCCATGACCACCACTCCCAAGAGAAGGAGGCGGGTGGTGGTGGTCGGGGACTCTCTCTTCAGGGGGACTGAGTCATCGATCTGCCGCCCTGACCGGGAAAACCGAGAAGTCTGCTGCTTGCCAGGGGCTAAGATTCGCGATGTGACAGAGAGTCTACCGAGACTCATCAAGCCCTCGGACCACTACCCCTTCCTGCTTTTCCATATGGGCACCAATGATACTGCCAAGAAAGACCTTGAGTGGATCACTGCGGACTACATGGCTCTGGGAAGGAGGATAAAGGAGTATGAGGCGCAAGTGGTGTTCTCGTCCATCCTCCCCGTGGAAGGAAAAGGCCGGGGTAGGGATCGTCGAATCGTGGAAGTCAATGAATGGCTACGCAGGTGGTGTCGGAGAGAAGGCTTTGGATTCTTCGACGATGGGATGGTGTTCCAAGAAGGAGGAGTGCTAGGCAGAGACGGGCTCCACTTAACGAAGAGAGGGAAGAGCATCTTCGTGAGCAGGCTGACTAACCTAGTGAGGAGGGCTTTAAACTAGGTTCACCAGGGGAAGGAGACCAAAGCTCTGAGGTAAGTGGGGAAGTGGGATACTAGGAGGAAGCACGAGCAGGAGTGTGTGAGAGGGGAGGGCTCCTGCCTCATACTGAGAACGAGGGGCGATCAGCGGGTTATCTCAAGTGCCTATATACAAATGCACAAAGCCTGGGAAACAAGAAGGGAGAACTGGAAGTCCTGGCAAAGTCAGGGAATTATGATGTGATTGGAATAACGGAGACTTGGTGGGATAACTCACATGACTGGAGTACTGTCATGGATGGGTATAAACTGTTCAGGAAGGACAGGCAGGGCAGAAAAGGTGAGGGAAGTTGCACTGTATGTAAGGGAGCAGTATGACTGCTCAGAGCTCAAGTATGAAACTGCAGAAAAACCTGAGAGTCTCTGGATTAAGTTTAGAAGCGTGAGCAACAAGGGTGATGTCATGGTGGGAGTCTGCTATAGACCACCAGACCAGGGGGATGAGGTGGACGAGGTTTTCTTCCAGCAACTCGCAGAAGCTACTAGATCACACGCCCTGGTTCTCATGGGCGACTTCAATCATCCTGATATCTGCTGGGAGAGCAATACAGCGGTGCACAGACAATCCAGAAGCTACTAGATCACACGCCCTGGTTCTCATGGGCGACTTCAATCATCCTGATATCTGCTGGGAGAGCAATACAGCGGTGCACAGACAATCCAGGAAGTTTTTGGAAACTGTAGGGGACAATTTCCTGGTGCAAGTGCTGGAGGAACCAACTAGGGGCAGAGCTCTTCTTGACCTGCTGCTCACAAACCGGGAAGAATTAGTAGGGGAGGCAAAAGTGGATGGGAACCTGGGAGGCAGTGACCATGAGATGGTCGAGTTCAGGATACTGACACAAGGAAGAAAGGAATGCAGCAGAATATGGACCCTGGACTTCAGAAAAGCAGACTTTGACTCCCTCAGGAACTGATGGGCAAGATCCCCTGGGAGAATAACATGAGTGGGAAAGGAGTCCAGGAGAGCTGGCTGTATTTTAAAGAATCCTTATTCAGGTTACAGGGACAAACCATCCCGATGTCTAGAAAGAATAGTAAATATGGCAGGCGACCAGCTTGGCTTAACAGTGAAATCCTTGCTGATCTTAAACACAAAGAAGAGGCTTACAAGAAGTGGAAGATTGGACAAATGACCAGGGATGAGTATATAAATATTGCTCGGGTATGTAGGAATGAAATCAGGAAGGCTAAATCACACCTGGAGTTGCAGCTAGCGAGGGATGTTAAGAGTAACAAGAAGGGTTTCTTCAGGTATGTTGGCAATAAAAAGAAAGCCAAGGAAAGTGCGGGCCCCTTACTGAATGAGGGAGGCAAACTAGTGACAGAGGATGTGGAAAAAGCAAATCTACTCAATGCTTTTTTTGCCTCTGTCTTCACGAACAAGGTCAGATTCCAGACTACTGCACTGGGCAGCACAGCATGGGGAGGAGGTGGCCAGCTTTCTGTGAAGGAAGAAGTGGTTTGGGACTATTTAGAAAAACTGGACGTGCACAAGTCCATGGGGCCGGATCCGTTGCTTCCGAGAGTGCTAAAGGAATTGGCGGATGTGATTGCAGAGCCATTGGCCATTATCTTTGAAAACTCATGGTGATCCGGGGAAGTCCCGGATGACTGGAAAAAGGCTAATGTAGTGCCAATCTTTTAAAAAACGGAAGAAGGAGGATCCTGGAAACTACAGGCCAGTCAGCCTCACCTCAGTCCCCGGAAAAATCATGGAGCATGTCCTCAAGGAATCAATTCTGAAGCACTTAGAGGAGAGGAAAATGATCAGGAACAGTCAGCATGGATACACCAAGGGCAAGTCATGCCTGACTAATCTAATTGCCTTCTATGATGACATAACTGGTTCTGTGGATGAAGGGAAAGCAGTGAACGTGTTATTCCTCGACTTTAGCAAAGCTTTTGACACGGTCTCCCACAGTATTCTTGTCAGCAAGTTAAAGAAGTATGGGCTGGATGGATGCACTACAAGGAGGGTAGAAAGTTGGTTAGATTGTCGGGCTCAACGGGTAGTGTTCAATGGCTCCATGTTTAGTTGGCAGCCGGTATCTAGCGGAGTGCCCCAAGGGTTGGTCCTGGGGCCGGTTTTGTTCAATATCTTCATTAATGATCTGGAGGATGGTGCGGCTTGCACCCTCAGCAAGTTTGCCAATGACACTAAACTGGGAGGAGTGGTAGATACACTGGAGGGGAGGGATAGGATACAGAAGGACCTAGACAAATTGGAGGATTGGGCCAAAAGAAATCTGATGAGGTTCAACAAGGACAAGTGCAGAGTCCTGCACTTAGGACGGAAGAATCCAATGCACCGCTACAGACTAGGGACTGAATGGCTAGGCAGCAGTTCTGCAGAGAAGGACCTAGGGGTGACAGCGGACGAGAAGCTGGATATGAGTCAGCAGTGTGCCCTTGTTGCCAAGAAGGCCAATGGCATTTTGGGACGTATATGTAGGGGCACTGCCAGCAGATCGAGGGACTTGATCGTTCCCCTCTATTCGACACTGGTGAGGCCTCATCTGGAGTACTGTGTCCAGTTTTGGGCCCCACACTACAAGAAGGATGTGGAGAAATTGAAGAGGGTCCAGCGAAGGGCAACAAAAATGATTAGGGGTCTGGAACACATGGCTTATGAGGAGAGGCTGAGGGAACTGGGATTCTTTAGTCTATGGAAGAGAAGAATGAGAGGGGATTTGATAGCTGCTTTTAACTACCTGAAAGGTGGATCCAAAGAGGATGGATCTGGACTATTCTCAGTGATAGCAGATGATAGGACAAGGAATAATGGTCTCAAGTTGCAGTGGGGGAGATTTAGATTGGATATTAGGAAAAACTTTTTCACTAGGAGGGTGGTGAAACACTGGAATGCGTTACCTAGGGAGGTGGTGGAATCCCCTTCCCTAGAAGCTTTTAAGATCAGGATTGACAAAGCCCTGGCTCAGATGATTTAGTTGGGATTGGTCCTGCTCTGGGCAGGGGGTTGGACTAGATGGCTTCCAGAGGTCCCTTCCAACTCTGTTATTCTATGATTCTATGATTCCTCTTGAAGGTACAGTCATGGGAGAGGAGGCGGAAGGCCTTAGAATCATAGAATCATAGAATATAAGGGTTGGAAGGGACCCCAGAAGGTCATCTAGTCCAACCCCCTGCTCGAAGCAGGACCAATTCCCAGTTAAATCATCCCAGCCAGGGCTTTGTCAAGCCTGACCTTAAAAACCTCCAAGGAAGGAGATTCTACCACCTCCCTATGTAACGCATTCCAGTGTTTCACCACCCTCATAGTGAAAAAGTTTTTCCTAATATCCAATCTAAACCTCCCCCACTGCAGCTTGAGACCATTACTCCTCGTTCTGTCATCTGATACCATTGAGAACAGTCTAGAGCCATCCTCTTTGGAACCCCCTTTCAGGTAGTTGAAAGCAGCTATCAAATCCCCCCTCATTCTTCTCTTCTGCAGGCTAAACAATCCCAGCTCCCTCAGCCTCTCCTCATAACTCATGTGTTCCAGACCCCTAATCATTTTTGTTGCCCTTCGCTGGACTCTCTCCAATTTATCCACATCCTTCTTGAAGTGTGGGGCCCAAAACTGGACACAGTACTCCAGATGAGGCCTCACCAATGTCGAATAGAGGGGAACGATCACGTCCCTCGATCTGCTCGCTATGCCCCTACTTATACATCCCAAAATGCCATTGGCCTTCTTGGCAACAAGGGCACACTGCTGACTCAAATCCAGCTTCTCGTCCACTGTCACCCCTAGGTCCTTTTCCGCAGAACTGCTGCCTAGCCATTCGGTTCCTAGTCTGTAGCTGTGCATTGGGTTCTTCCGTCCTAAGTGCAGGACCCTGCACTTATCCTTATTGAACCTCATCAGATTTCTTTTGGCCCAATCCTCCAATTTGTCTAGGTCCTTCTGTATCCTATCCCTCCCCTCCAGCGTATCTACCACTCCTCCCAGTTTAGTATCATCCGCAAATTTGCTGAGAGTGCAATCCACACCATCCTCCAGATCAGTTATGAAGATATTGAACAAAACCGGCCCCAGGACCGACCCTTGGGGCACTCCACTTGATACCGGCTGCCAACTAGACATGGAGCCATTGATCACTACCCGTTGAGCCCGACAATCTAGCCAGCTTTCTACCCACCTTGTAGTGCATTCATCCAGCCCATACTTCCTTAACTTGCTGACAAGAATACTGTGGGAGACCGTGTCAAAAGCTTTGCTAAAGTCAAGAAACAATACATCCACTGCTTTCCCTTCATCCACAGAACCAGTAATCTCATCATAGAAGGCGATTAGATTAGTCAGGCATGACCTTCCCTTGGTGAATCCATGCTGGCTGTTCCTGATCACTTTCCTCTCATGCAAGTGCTTCAGGATTGATTCTTTGAGGACCTGCTCCATGATTTTTCTAGGGACTGAAGTGAGGCTGACTGGCCTGTAGTTCCCAGGATCCTCCTTCTTCCCTTTTTTAAAGATTGGCACTACATTAGCCTTTTTCCAGTCATCCGGGACTTCCCCGGTTCGCCACGAGTTTTCAAAGATAATGGCCAATGGCTCTGCAATCACAGCCGCCAGTTCCTTCAGCACTCTCGGATGCAACTCGTCCGGCCCCATGGACTTGTGCACGTCCAGCTTTTCTAAAAAGTCCCTAACCACCTCTATCTCCACAGAGGGCTGGCCATCTCTTCCCCATTTTGTGATGCCCAGCGTAGCAGTCTGGGAGCTGACCTTATTAGTGAAGACAGAGGCAAAAAAAGCATTGAGTACATTAGCTTTTTCCACATCCTCTGTCACTAGTTTGCCTCCCTCATTCAGTAAGGGGCCCACACATTCCTTGGCTTTCTTCTTGTTGCCAACATACCTGAAGAAGCCCTTCTTGTTACTCTTGACATCTCTGGCTAGCTGCAGCTCCAGGTGCGATTTGGCCCTCCTGATAACATTCCTACATGCCCTAGCAATATTTTTATACTCTTCCCTGGTCATATGTCCAACCTTCCACTTCTTGTAAGCTTCTTTTTTATGTTTAAGATCCGCTAAGATTTCACCATTAAGCCAAGCTGGTCGCCTGCCATATTTACTATTCTTTCGACTCATCGGGATGGTTTGTCCCTGTAACCTCAACAGGGATTCCCTGAAATACAGCCAGCTCTCCTGGACTCCTTTCCCCTTCAAGTTAGTCCCCCAGGGGATCCTGGCCATCCGTTCCCTGAGGGAGTCGAAGTCTGCTTTCCTGAAGTCCAGGGTCCGTATCGTGCTGCTTACCTTTCTTCCCTGTGTCAGGATCCTGAACTCAACCAACTCATGGTCACTGCCTCCCAGATTCCCATCCACTTTTGCTTCCCCCACTAATTCTACCCGGTTTGTGAGCAGCAGGTCAAGAAAAGCGCCCCCCCTAGTTGGCTCCTCGAGCACTTGCGCCAGGAAATTGTCCCCTACGCTTTCCAAAAACTTCCTGGATTGTCTATGCACCGCTGTATTGCTCTCCCAGCAGATATCAGGAAAATTAAAGTCACCCATGAGAATCAGGGCATGCGATCCAGTAGCTTCCGTGAGCTGCCGGAAGAAAGCCTCATCTACCTCATCCCCCTGGTCCGGTGGTCTATAGCAGACTCCCACCACTACATCACTCTTGTTGCACACACTTCTAAACTTAATCCAGAGACACTCAGGTTTTTCTGCAGTTTCGTACCGGAGCTCTGAGCAGTCATACTGCTCCCTTACATACAGTGCTACTCCCCCACCTTTTCTGCCCTGCCTGTCCTTCCTGAACTGTTTATAACCATCCATGACAGTACTCCAGTCATGTGAGTTATCCCACCAAGTCTCTGTTATTCCAATCACGTCATAGTTCCTTGACATCACCAGGACCTCCAGTTCTCCCTGCTTGTTTCCAAGGCTTTGTGCATTTGTATATAAGCACTTGAGATAACCTGTTGATCGCCCCTCATTCCCAGTATGAGGCAGGAGCCCTCCCCTCACAGACATTCCTGCCTGTGCTTCCTCCCGGTATCCCGCTTTCCCACTTACCTCAGGGCTTTGGTCTCCTTCCCCCGGTGAACCTAGTTTAAAGCCCTCCTCATAAGTCATGTGTTCCAGACCCCTAATCATTTTTGTTGCCCTTCGCTGGACTCTCTCCAATTTATCCACATCCTTCTTGAAGTGTGGGGCCCAAAACTGGACACAGTACTCCAGATGAGGCCTCACCAATGTCGAATAGAGGGGAACGATCACGTCCCTCGATCTGCTCGCTATGCCCCTACTTATACATCCCAAAATGCCATTGGCCTTCTTGGCAACAAGGGCACACTGCTGACTCATATCCAGCTTCTCGTCCACTGTCACCCCTAGGTCCTTTTCCGCAGAACTGCTGCCTAGCCATTCGGTCCCTAGTCTGAAGCTGTGCATTGGGTTCTTCCGTCCTAAGTGCAGGACCCTGCACTTATCCTTATTGAACCTCATCAGATTCTTCATCAGCCTTCCTCATCAGCCTTCTCCACCTGCACCTCCCACCTCACGGTGGTGACTTTACTCTACGTGCTTGTTATCGTTAACTATGTACTGCCCTCTCAGGGGGGTTCCCAGGAGAGGGACATGATAGCCACCCTTATGTACAGCATCATAACCTCTGTCCTGAACCCCCTGATCTACACCCTGAGGAACCGGGAGGTGAAATCTGCCCTGAGGAAAGTGGTAGGAAGAAAACTGTTCCCTGGAAGAACATGAAAAAACTGAATGTTTTTCTCTGTCTCTGAGGCTGAGAATGAGAGTGGGTAATGTGCTTTCTTTCATTGAGTCTATTGTGCATTGGGAGCTGGCCATTAATGTGCAGGGAATCACTGTGCATTGGGCACTGGGAAATAGGCTGTAGAGAACCTTCCTAAACTGGAGAATGGAGGTTAATAGCAAGGGAGACTTTAAAGTCATAAAGAAAATGAGGACTTGTGGCATCCGATGAATGCATCGGAATGCATCCGATGAAGTGAGCTGTAGCTCATGAAAGCTTATGCTCAAATAAATTTGTTAGTCTCTAAAGTGCCACAAGTACTCCTTTTCTTTTTGTGGATACAGACTAACACAGCTGCTACTCTGAAACCTTTAAAGTCAGAAGGGACCATTGTGATCATCTGCTCTGACCTCCTGTACATTGCAGACCACAGAACCTCACTCATCCACTCCTGTAATAGACCCCTAACCTCTGGCAGAGTAACTGAAGTCCTCAAATCATGGGTTAAATACTTCAAGTAAAAGAGAATTCACCACTGACACTAGTTGTGCACTGGTCAGCAGAAAATTGACAGTAGGGAATAAGAAGCCTGGGTGGAAATAAACAATACATTGGAAATTGATGGGGAACCTTTTCATTTGACAAAAAGAAACAAACGAATAATTTGCCAACATTTTCAGTAGAAAATCTTGATTTTTCATGGAAGAAATGAAAATGGCCAAAACTCAAAAATGTACTGCCATAACTGAGCGGTTTTGTGGTTCAGCAGTGTTGGTTTCCCAATAGAAAGTCTTTCTTCTTGAGAAAAGCAGACAGTTTGCACAAAAAATTTAGTAAAAAAAAAAAGAAGGATGTTGAAAAACCCATTTTCCATCAGAAAGATTTCAATGGAAAAATTCACTCATGCCTATCAAGAAGCCTTCTTCATTTGCATCTGTGGGTGGAGTCTCGGATTTTTAAAGGTGTCTGGTTCAGAAGGGCACTCAAAGGCTATTGGCTGTTAATGAGAGTTTTAAGGGCACCCTTAAATCCCTTTGAAAATTTCATCCTCCATGCACAATTGCATAACAAGTTCAGCTCCCAACATACTGCAGAGCTCAATCCCTAAAAAACATCAAGCTCCCACCGAGATCTAACCTATATCAAGCCCACATAGGTCACCAAACCCATGTTCCCTACTGCAGCACAGACAAGTAGTTGTTCCTTGCAGTGTGCCATGAGAGTCAACAGAACAGAGCTATTTTGGATCTAAAAGGAAGAGGGATGGGCAGAGCTTCTTCTACAATTGAGGCTCTCACAGAGCAGGCTTTGGACTAGATCCACAAAGGCATGTAGGCGTCTCCATCAAATTGGAGAAAATCCACAAGAGAGCAACAAAAATGACTAAAACATGACCTACGTGGAAAGGTTGAAAAGACTGGGTTTGTTTAGTTTGGAGAAGTGAAGACTGAGGGGGAAACATGATAATAGTTTTCAAGTACGTAAAAGGTTGTTATAAAGAGGTTAGTGATTAATTGTTCTCTGGAACCACTGAGGACAGGACAAGAAGTAATGGGCTTAAATTTCAGCAAGGTGGATTTTGGTTAAACATTAGGAAAAAAACTTAAGAATGGGTTAGACAAACACCAGATGGGGCAGTCTAGAGAATGCGTAGTCCTGCCACAGTGAGGACTGGACTGGATGACCTGTTGAGTTCCCTCCCAGTCCTATGATTGTCTGATTCTATGAGTAAGCTCTATGCACTCAGTATTGGGAAATTAAAGAGACAGCTTGAGAGTCCAGTGATGACTCTGAGTATCTGGAGAACAAGGGTGGTGCAATGTGGGGAAGGGTACCTGGAGACCTTGAACAGGGCCCAAGCCAGGATCACAGTAACGTGGCGGTGGGGATCTGGAGCCAGTTCTGTGGAAAGAGGAGGTACTGAGACAAAGGCGCATGATGCCATGGTCAAGCAACCCAGTGCAGACAATATAGAAGGCGTCATTGGTGTCAGATGAGGGTCTTCATGCTGAAGCAAAGGCGAGAGCAATAAGCAGGTGGAATAAGTCGCTATCCGCGGGGTAAGCATCTGACATTGTCAGTACCAATGTGGCCTGCTGACCTGCAGTGATCAGGAAAGACTGATGTGTCAAAGAATTATCCAGACCCCATAGTCCCTGAGAGAATACCAGAGTCAATGGCTCAGGTGTCTCTTAATCAGTCAGTATCAGAAGAAACAAGCCAAAGGGCACACTTTGCCTTTGGTACCTGATGGATCCTCTGTGGAAGAATCTGTGACCCAGGGATTTCTTGATGCCAACTGGCAGAGGGCAGAGGGGGTGCATATGGGTTTACAGGGAAGACTGATGCTCACAGGCCTGCTTTTACTAACTGCAGCCAGAATATAACCCCATGGATAAGGACAGCAGCTTATTCAAAGAACTAGGCCCTTGCTGCTTGTTCAACTCAGGACGGTGCGGTGACATTAATTCCAAATCAATGCTGCATTGTTTTAAATGCATAGGATTTGTGGCCTGCATATGGACTGGTACTGAAAAAATCTGTATGTTAAATACTATTATTTGTTTGTTTGCATAGTACCTGCTGTGTTGCTGTAATGAGAAGATTGTGTTTAGATTTATGAGGAGTCTTCAATAACCCTGAAATTGTCCTCTTATAAATATCTAGATTTTTTTTAGTTGGAGCCCCTTTGCTGCATTGTTGTTTCTTTCTTCCAAACTGGAGCAATTCAGGTTACAGGCATCCATGACTGTCCCAATTTGCATATTTGTCTGATGTGGTATTATCCACAGGAGGGAGTTCCATGGTCAAAACATACCAGACTCACTCACCATTCCTGCTCTAAAATGGAATTATTGTGGGTACTTGTGTAATCCAGATTGGGTGGGTTATGCCATCTCAGCCCTTCCTCACACACACACACACACACACACACACAGAGAGAAAGAGAAAGAGAAAGAGAAAGAAAGAGAAAGAGACCTCGTCCCACCAAATAGCCTGGTGGTTAGGGCATTCTGCTGGGAGCCAGGAGAAATGGGTTTCAGACTGTGATGGGTTGTTACCCTGGGGTGTAGTCTGGGAGCAGTTGGAATCGTTGTGCCCCCTAGCCATTCAGCTGGGTTGGCCTCTCTCACACTGCTCTGCTGGTGACTCAGCCAGCCTCTCCAGGCCCTGTTATCACCCAACATGACAGCAGGTGGTGCCACACACCTAACTGAATTAACTGAGTGCTTTATGTAACCCACTCATGGACAAACAGGGGGCCCCTAGCCAGCTTCCCAGCTCCCCAGCCTTTCACCCCTACTGAGGGATAAACCCAGAATTATACCATCTTGCACTGCACGGGGGTCTGTACAAAGTCCAGTGGAGGGCAACAAAAGTGATTAGGGGGCTGGGGCACATGACTTATGAGGAGAGGCTGAGGGAACTGGGCTTATTTAGTCTGCAGAAGAGAAGAATGTGCGGGGGGAGGGATTTGATAGCAGCCTTCAACTATCTGAAGGGAGGTTCCAAAGAGGAGGGAGCTAGGTTGTTCTCAGTGGTGGCAGATAACAGGACAAGAAGCAATAGTTTCAAGTTGCAGTGGGGGAGGTCCAAGTTGGATATTAGGAAACACTATTTCACTACGAGGGTGGTGAAGCACTGGAATGGGTTACCTAGGGAGGTGGTAGAATCTCCATCCTTAGAGGTTTTTAAGGCCCAGCTTGACAAAGCCCTGGCTGGGATGATTTATTTGGGATTGGTCCTGCTTTGAGCAGGGGGTTGGACTAGATGACCTCCTGAGGTCTCTTCCAACCCTAATCTTCTATGATAAACAAAACTGCAAACTAAGTCTTTTACAAACTAGACAGGATTTGAATCAGCACTATCTCACCCTGTCTGATGATACAAGCAGGCTTGCAGATTCTTGAGGTACAAGCTGCATCTGCCTTGCAGTTTGGGTTCCCCTCCTTCATTCCAAGTCCTTTGTCTTCCATTACTTCTTTCAGGTGTTGAATTGTGGGGGAATGAGAACAAATCATGTTGTCGCTGCCCACCGTATAGAGTTTCTCCATATGGTGGGAACCCTTTGTTACAAGCTAAATTCTCAGCCCAGTTTGTGGAAAAATACAGGTACCAAAATGGAGTTCAGTATCATGTGGTCTGGTCACATGCCCTTGCCGGCCTTGCTGAGTCACAGCAGCCATTATTCATAGGCTGGTTGAAATGTTCCCAGGTGAGGACAAACCTTTTCCATGGTCCATTGTCCATGGCTAATGGCCCATCAGCACTGTCTAGCTTCTTCATTGTTGTGCATGAAAGGCTTGTTGTGTGTGTCACCCAGAGTAGGTACATTTGAAATACATATACATAGTCAATATTCTTAACTTCAGATACAAAAATGATACATGCACACAAATAGGATAATCATATTCAGCAAATCATAACATTTTTATAGACACCTCACATGACACATTTGGTACAGGATGCACCATAATTATGTCAAAATCTATCATAATGATACCACTATGATGAATATGGGGTGTAGTGTCACACAGACCCGCCTCCAAATTAGGCAGAGGGCGGGATCCAGGGCTGTGGGTCTTCCACATCCCAGCTGAGTGCTCTAACCACTGAGATATCGGGTATAATGGGACACCTCACCAAAAAAAATCTTATCCCCTGTTGACCTTTGTGTGTGGCACCTCCCAGAGGTACTCAAGGTTGTGAGATGCCTTGCCAGTGCCTGCCCTTAGCGTGAAGCAATCTTTGTCTATGCCTGCTGTGGTTCCGCTCCTGGAAACCAACAGCCTCTGTCCTCCAGGTCTCTGCAGACCTCTCCTTCTCTGTGTCTCTGTGCCCCTGCCACTGGATGGTCACAGTAATTACCAAGTCAGCTGCCACCAAAGAGACAGTGCACACACCAGCCTGTTTGATCTAGCTATGCAGTCACACTTTGCTTAATGTTACAGCACTGAGATCTACTTCTGATAAAACAAAGAGTTTATTAACAAAGATTGGAGTGATACTGAGTAAGGGCCAGAACTAGAGACTGTGTCTGGACTCTTCTTAGACCTAACTGATTTCAAAGCATCCACCGGGGGGACTCAGCCAGGGCTGTAACCTTGTTGTTTGTTTTTTACCGTTCAACCAGCTCATCTATGCCGACCTCAGTTTCTTGAAGAAACACTTGGCTTGTTTGTTCATTCAGTAACTCTCCAGTGGTGCATGAATCCTGTCCCAGAGGAGCCATCCACTGAATGGAAATCTTGCTTCCCTGATAATGCCATGGGTACTCCATGGAATATGGACATAATAAAAAGGTTTCTTGCCTGCTCAGTCACCAAAGGTTTTCAGAACAACCAGGGCTCACTCCTCTCCTATGGTCTGAACTGACTGAAATTCCTGCAATTTCCCCACAACACACTTTGTCACCTGTCACTGTTGAAACAACTCATCTAGAAAGAGGACCAGTATCACTCAGGTAAGTGCTGGAAGGGGAAATAGCAGGAAAGCGCCTGCTAGTTTTCTAAATCCACAAATACAAGTATGTTCCTGATGTCTGGAATTACTGGTTTCTTTCTTTCTTTCTTTCTTTCTTTCTTTCTTTCTTTCTTTCTTTCTTTCTTTCTTTCTTTTATATTATAAAAAGGAGAGGCTGAGTAAGAGCTTGTCTACATGGCCCCGTGTTTTGGTCTATAGGGAGCATGAATTGCAGAGTTCACTAGTATGCTGGACTGTAATTGTCCTGTGAGTGCAAATGCAAATCAAGTACCTTTTAGTTCACACTTGCAGGGGGTACATGGGGCATTTACAACCAATCATGCTAGAGAGTGCTGTGACTTACACTCCTGTTGTCCAAACTGTGGACATGTCCTAAGGCACCGGTTTTCAACTTTTTTTTTCATTTGCAGACCCCTAAAAAATGGATGTGTGTACCCCATTGGAAATATTAGACATAGTCCGCGGACCCCCAGGGGTCCTTGTACCATGTGTTGAAAATCACTGCACTAAGACAAGGTTATGGGAAATTCCTTAACACAGTTAGGTCCCTTATTTGCTAGGCTGCCTCCATACACATGAGAATGGTGCAGTGCACAGCAAATTAAGGTTAGGTTTAGGGATTAGAAAGTTAGACACCAAAGTACCTCCCATTGAATGTCAGTGAGAGTTTGGCACCTGCTTCCCCATCGCTATAGTGAACATACAAATCTACAAAGAAATGTGGGAGATGACCGTGACAACAATGATGATGATTCTTCACTGATACGGCAGTTTCACCTGCAGTCTACAAGAGAGCAAGTTGAACCTCAGAGTTACAAACACCTCGGGAGTGGCGGTTGTTCATAATTCTGAAATGTGCATAACTCTGAACAAAACGTTATGGGCAGTGATGAGCTGCCAAAATCTTAACAACCGGTTCCCTATAAAAAGCTCTGATTTAAGGGATGTGCCCCAGTATGTATTTTTTGTCCCAACAGGGTTACCATATGTCCGTATTTTCCTGGGAGGAATTTTTAAATTTTAAAAATTCCTCCTGGGCAGCGATTTAAGAACCAAAAAGCCTGACCTGTCCGGGAAAATACGGGTGTGTGTTAACCCTGTCTAAAGTTCTTTGTTAAAAAGATGGGCCTGAACTAGAAATGAGCTCCGTGTCACATGTGTGGGGCCCCGCCACGCCCTGGGGGTCTGCTAGGGTGACCAGATGTCCCGATTTTATAGGAACAGTCCTGATTTTGGGGTCTTTTTCTTACATAGGCTCCTATTACCCGCCACCCTCTGTCCTGATTTTTCACACTTGCTGTCTGGTCACCCTAGGGTGTGCACATGTGTGGGTCCCAGCTGCTCCCTGCCCCCCTCATTGAACCAGGTGTGCAGGGTTACTGCCCTGGGAACTGCAGGGCACCAGTGGACATGGGGTCAGCTGAAGAAAGGGGCATGAGGCAGGGCTAGCTGGAGGCGGGGGTGCAGGGCTGGCTGTGGGCAGGGTAGGGGGTGCGGAGCTGGCTGGAGACAGGAGGGTGAGGGGTTGGCTGGAGGCAAGGGGGTGTGGGGCTGGCTGGAGACAGGGCAGGGGCTGACTGGAGGTAGGGGCTGGCTGCAGGCAAGGCAGGGGGGTGCAGGGTTGGCTGGAGACAAAGGCTGGCTGCGGGCAGGGCAGGGGGTGCGGCAGGGGCTGGTGCCGGCAGGGGGTGCAGGGGTGGCTGGAGACAGGGGCTGGTGCGGGCAGGGTGGTGGGTGCTCACAGGGAGAGCGGCTCAGAGCAGCCCGAGCAGCAGGACGCAGCCCAGGCCCAGCAGAGCAGCCGGGGATCCACCCGGCAACAGCAGGAGCCCCAGGGCCAGGGGAGCAGCAGCAGCAACAGGGCTCGTGCCCAGGGCCAGGCGGCAGCCCACGTGGCTCCCACAGCGCAGCGCCCCCGGCGGCCGGAGGAGGAATTACATCACTTCCCGGCCGGAGCCCAGCAAAGCCTCAGCGCCCCCTGCAGGGAAGCGGGTTAACAACCGGTTCTGAAACTGCTCCAAGATTTAACAACTGGTTCACGCGAACCGGTGCGAACCGGCTCCAGCTCCCCACTGGTTATGGGTGTTCTTTCAAAAGTTTACAATGGAACATTGATTTAATGCAGTTTTGAAACTTTACTATGGAGAAGAAAAATGCTGCTTTCCCTTTTTTTTAGTTGTTTACATATAACACAGTACTGTACTATATTTGCTTTTTTTTTTTGCTTCTACTGCTGCATGATTGCATACTCCTGGTTCCAAATGAGGTGTGTGGTTGACTGATTGTCATCCCATCCTCCTGCACTCCTGAGCTGCTGCTTGCTGGAGAGACACTGCCAAAGCAAAGGAAATAGCCCAAGAACTTAAATATGTATGGAAATGTTTCTCAGCCAAATATTTCAACCTGCTCTCTTGCAGACTGCAGGTGAAACTGACGTATCAGTGCAGAATCATCATCATTGTTGTCACGGTCATCTCCCACATTTCTTTGTAGATTTGTGTCATCTGCAAAATGTTGTCCCTGTATTTAATGTTCACCCGCTTGTCTGGATTGTTAATAAACATAAAATAATGACACCAGCTCCTATAGGGAACCTTGTGGTGCTTAAATTATTTCACTTTTCCTAGTGCTTACGAAGGACAGTCACTGCTCAGAAGGAGCTCATAGTCTCAGGTCAAATGAATACAAAAGAAATCAGGGAAAGGGGAATAACAACAGGAAATTGTATTGAGTGTAAATCCAGAAGAGACCAATAGATAATCTAGTCTGATCACCTTTATAGTACAAGCCATTTCATTTCATCCTGCCACCTCGGTACATAGCCCAATAATTTGTGTAAAATAATTTGTGCAAATTAATTCCAATTCAGCAGTCTCTCACTGGAGTCTGTTTTTGAAGTTTTTTTGTTGAAGAATTGCAACTTTCAGGTCTGTAATCAAGTGACCAGAGAGATTGAAGTGTTCTCCGACTGGTTTTTGAATGTTATAATTCTTGACGTCTGATTTGTGTCCATTTATTCTTTTACGTAGAGACTGTCCAGTTTGACCAATGTACATGGCAGAGGGGCATTGCTGGCACAGGATGGCATCTATCACATTGGTAGATGTGCAGGTGAACGAGCCTCTGATAGTGTGGCTGATGTGATTAGGCCCTATGGTGGTGTCCCCTGAATATATATGTGGACACAGTTGGCAACGGGTTGTTGCAATGATAGGTACCTGGGTTAGTGGTCCTGTTGTGTAGTGTGTGGTTGCTGGTTAGTATTTGTTTCAGGTTGGGGGGCTGTCTGTAAGCGAGGACTGGCCTGTCTCCCAAGATCTGTGAGAGTGATGGGTCGTCCTTCAGGATAGGTCATAGATCCTTGATGATGCGTTGGAGAGGCTTTAGTTGGGGGATGAAGGTGATGGCTAGTGGAGTTCTGTTATTTTCTTTGTTGCCCTCTGTTCCTCAGACATTCTTGTCAACTGCTGGAAATGGCCCTCCTTGATTATCACTACAAAAGGTTTACTGCACCCGCCCCCCCCCCTGCTCTCCTGCTGGTAATAGCTCATCTTAAGTGATCACCCTGGTTACAGTGTGTATGGTAACACCCATTGTTTCATGTTCTCTATATATATAGCTCTCCCCACTGTATTTTCCACTGAATGCATCCGATGAAGTGAGCTGTAGCTCATGAAACCTTATGCTCAAATAAATTTGTTAGTCTCTAAGGTGCCACAAGTCCTCCTTTTCTTTTTGCAAATACAGACTAACACGGCTGCTACTCTGAAACCTCTCCCTATGAAAGTACTTAGTCACCTCTCAGCCTCCCTTTTGATAAACTAAATGGATTGAGCTCTTCAAGTCACTCAGGATTTGTCTATACTTCCAGCTAAATCAGCACAGCTGTGATAAATGCAGCAATATCGATTTAGCGGGTCTGGTGAAGACAAGCTAAGTCGATAGCAGAACACTCTTCCATCAATGTCCGTACTCCACCTCCCCAAGAGGCATAAGGTAAGTCATTGGGAAAGTGTCTCCTGTCAACATAGCGTGGTGTAGACATCACTGTAAGTTGACCTAAGTTATGTTGACTTCAGTTATGTAACTTATACGTAAGAACATAAGAATGGCCATCCTGGGTCAGGCCAAAAGTCCATCTAGCCCAGTATCCTGTCTTTTGACAGTGGTCAATGCCAGGTGCCCCAGAGGGAATGAACTGAACAGGTAATCATCAAGTGACCCATTCCCTGTCACTCCTTCCCAGTTTCTGGCAAACAGAGGCTAGAGACACCATCCCCACCCATCCTGGCTAATAGCCATTGATTGACCTATCCTCCATGCATTTATTTAGTTCTTTTTTGAACCCTGTTATAGTCTTGGCCTGCATAACTTAGGTCAACATACAGCTTTCGTGTAGACAAGCCTCCCTTGAAAGGCATTTTCTCTAATCATTTTTGTGGTTCTTTTCTGAACCCTCTCCAACTTTTTAGTGTATGAACAAGTCAGCTTTGATCATGGTGGGCAACACAGCAGAAATGGGGCTGTGAGAGGGACTTAAATGCGGGTAGAATAGGGGATTTATGGATGAGTTTGCAGAGGTTTACAATACGTGGCACGGTGTGAGAATGGGACAAACAGAAGGACTATGAACTGGAGAGCATTGATGGAGTGAAAGGAACTGAAGGCATCAGAAAGCATGACAAGGGAGGATATACAGGGAAAGGCAGAGTTACTTAGAGCTTTCCAACTGGTGCCTAGAACCTGAGCTTTGATACAATATCCAGTGGGAAGCCAATGGACGGATCCAAAGAGTGAAGAGCTGCTAAGCTTGTTACTTCATGAAAATTGGCCCTTTAATGCTGCCCTTTGTTATCTCTCATACTTTTCTGCTTACCCCATGACCTCATAGATCCTTTCATAGCCTATTGTGAGGCACATAAAGGAATTTTGAAGGTCTAAATAAATGTCAACCCATTCTGCTTTATCTACTGTTTCGGTCACACAGTCACGTAATTCTAACAGATAAGTGAAACCCAATTTTCCTTTGCAAAATCTGTGCTGCTTAGACACTATCATATCATGATCCTCTGGGTCTTTTATTAATCTATCTGTAATTATTCTTTCAACCTCTTTATCGGGCTCATATGTTAGGCTTACTGGTCTGTAATTCCCTGGATCACCTCTAAGGACTTTTAAAAATGTAGGGAAAACATTTATTAGCCTCCAGTATAATAACTGATTCTGAGATTCTATCAAACTAAGAGAATGCTGAAGTAAATTTCAAAAGAATTATTTTTTTCTTGAAATTATTCATTTAAATTTTTTATTCAAAAAGAGAAAACTTTCAGCTCTACTCCTCATGTGGAGTGATATGAGACACCCTGCAGCTATACTGTCTCCTTTTCTTGTATATTCCAGTGACGGAGAACCAGACGGAGATAAGCAAGTTCATCCTCCTGGGCCTGACCAATCTCCAGGAGCTGCGGTGCTTCCTCTTCATTCTCTTCCTGATGCTTTACTTGGCCAGCATTCTGGGGAATGGGGCAATCATGGCCATTGTAATGGCTGAACCCTGGCTTCACACCCCCATGTACTTCTTCTTGGGCAACCTCTCCTGTCTGGACATCTTCTACTCAACAGTCACCATGCCCAAGATGCTGGCTGGTTTCCTCTGAGGGCACGAGACCATCTCCTTCACTGACTGCCTGGCTCAGCTCCATTTCTTCCACTTCCTGGGAAGCAGAGAGGTCATTCTTCTGGCTGTCATGGCCTATGACCTCTATGTGGCCATCTGCAACCCGCTTCGCTACATGCTTGTCATGAACCCACAGGTCTGCCTGCTCCTGGCAGCAGCCACCTGGACCACCGGCTTCCTACATGCCCTGCTGCACATGGTCATGACCTCCCGACTGCACTTCTGTGGCTGCAACCATGTCCACCACTTTTTCTGTGACATCAAGCCCCTGCTGAGCCTGGCCTGCAGCAGCAACCGCTTCAACCTGAGCCTCCTCAACATCGTCACGGGGACCATCGCTCTGAGTCCCTTCATCATCACGCTCCTCTCCTACCTCTACATCATCTTCTTCCTCTTCCTGAAGGTCCAATCACAATCACAATCAATGTGATTTGGGCACACAACTTCCTTGGGCTCCATTGAAAATCCAAGACATAGACAATTACTCTCAGCCTGTTACACTTCCAAAGTCAATGAACAAATGTGGGAGAACTTTTGCATTTTAATATGGCTACATGTAAACATAAATCTCAGAGCAAAGAATGTAGGCCATGTCTATACGATGGGGGGCAGAATCCTGGGAAGCAGTGACTCTGAAACAGATTTGGTGGGGGGTGGATAATCAGGTGAACCTGAGGTCCCATCAAGATGCTGTGGGCAAAACGGTTAATGTGATCCAGGAACACATAAACAAGGGACTCTCGAGTAGGAGTAGAGAGGTTACTTGACCTCTGCATGTGGCACTGGTGCAACTGCTGCTGGAATTCTGTGAGCAATTCTGGCATCCAGAATTCAAGAAGGATGTTGATAAATTGGGGAGGGGTCAGAGACGAGCCACGAGAATGATCAAAGGATGAGAAAACTTGCCATGTAGTGATAGACTCAAAGAGCGTAATCTAGTTAGCTTAACAAAGAGAAGGTTAAGGGGTGACTTGATTACAGTCTGCAAGTACCTATATGGGGAGCAAATATTTAATGCTGGGCTTTTCAATTTAGCAGAGAAAGGTAAAACACAATACAATGGCTGGAAACTGAAGCTAGACAAATTCAGACTGGAAAAAATGTCTAAATTTTTAACAGTGAGAGTAATTAACCATTGGAACAATTTACCAAGGACCGTGGTGGATTCTTCATCACTGGTAATTTTTAAATCAAGATTGGATGTTTTTTTAAAAGATCTGCTCTAGGAATTATTGTGGGGAAATTCTATGGCCTGTGTTCTACAGGAGGTCAGACTAGATGATCAAAATGGTCCCTTCTGGCCTTGGAATATGTATATCTATGTACTCCACTCCTTTTAAGTTTACCACTGCCCGCGTTGTGAGATTATTATTTGATGTTATTCTATCAGGGCCAAAGCCCAACCTTGTCCATATTCAGAGTTGCATTGGTTTCTATTTAAATTGGTTTGAAACTTATTTAGCAGACCCAGTGTAAAACCATGTGCGGATGTTTTTTATTTGGATTTAAGAGAGGCTAATCTCAATTAGACTTCTGCTCCTAACACCTTAGGTGCTTTGGAAAATCTCACCTGACATTTGTTTTACAAACACACCTTCAGTTAAAACAGTGCCGGCTTGTGTGCAGTCAGCGCCTCATTGAAGCCGGTTTTGACTGGAGCTGGTCAAAAGTTTTCCAGTGCAATGTTTTTCCATCAGAAACTGCTGTTTCAGTGACACTGAAACTTTCTGTGATAATGTGCCAAATTTTTTGTTTTGAAAAAATTGGAAAAAAACATTAATCGATTCATAGATTCTGCAGCCAGTAGGGACTTTTTTGTGATAATGTAACCTGACCGCCTGTATAGTACAGGGCATAGAAATTGAACCTGACAAGGTTCAAACGTTCCATTGTCAGAATTGAAAATTTCAATAGTTTGTTTTGAAATGAAATAGAAAATAAGGTTAAAAGCAGAGTAAGTGAAAGTCCACTTCTTCTCAGTGCATCCTTAACTGAGGATGTTATACAGGCCAGTGGCTTAAAAAGATGGTAAATATATATATTTGGTGGTGAGAATGAATGGGAATAGCACCTGAAGTGAACCAAACTGGAGTATTTAGCGCTATCAACCAATGTGATTATCAAATGATGGTCAGGATTTTTTTCTTTCTTTCTGGTATATAGCAGAGATAGACCTGATACAAAATAATAAAAACACATTGGTTCAATTTTGACTTTTTAAAGTTTTATTATATATAATTTTACTTTTATTTTTGTATTCGAATTTGTGATATTTTATTTTTATGATATTTTAATTGCATTGTGTAGAATTTTACATTATATTCCACTACAAGTTATGATATAACATAAAATTCATTTCTAAACAAAAGAAGATATTTCAAATAAAAAAATCAAAATGTTCCATCCTAATAAAGAGAAAATGGAATATTTCAACCATAGTGAATTGCATTTTTTTTGTTTGTTTATTTGGTTTTCTTTATGTTTTTGAACAAAGTTGTGTCAAAAACATAGAATCATAGGACTGGAAGGGACCTTGAGAGGTCATCTAGTCCAGTCCACTGCACTCAAGGCAGGACTAAGTATTATCTAGTCCATCCCTGACAGGTGTTTGTCTAAGCTGCTCTTAAAAATCTCCAGTGATGGAGACTCCACAACTTCCCTAGGCAATCTGTTCCAGTGCTTAACCACCCTGTCAGTTAGGAAGTTTTTCCTAGTGTCCAACCTAAACCTCCCTTGCTGCAGTTTAAGCCCATTGCTTCTTGTCCTGTCCTCAGAAGTTAAGAAGAACAATTTTTCTCCCTCCTCCTTGTAACAACCTCTTATGTACTTGAAAACTGTTATCATGTCCCCTCTCACTCTTCTTGGAGAGCTGGAACTCCAGCAACTAAAGGAAGTTACTAGATCACAGGCCCTGGTTCTCATGGGAGACTTCAATCACCCTGAAATCTGCTGGGAGAGCACTACGACGGTGCACAGACAATCCAGGAAGTTTTTGGAAAGTGTAGGGGACAACTTCCTGGTGCAAGTGCTGGAGGAACCAACTAGGGGCAGAGCTCTTCTTGACCTGCTGCTCACAAACCGGGAACAATTAGTAGGGGAAGCAAAACTGGATGGGTACCTAGGCAGCAGTGACCATGAGATGGTCAAGTTCAGGATCCTGACACAAGGAAGAAAGGAGAGCAGCAGAATACAGACCCTGGACTTCAGAAAAGTAGACTTTGACTCCCTCAGGGAACTGATGGGCAGGATCTCCTGGGAGAATAACATGAGGGGGAAAGGAGTCCAGGAGAGCTGGCTGTATTTTAAAGGTTACAGGGACAAACCCTCCCGAACTGCAGAAAGAATAGTAAATATGGCAGGCAACCAGTTTGGCTTAACAGTGAAATCCTTGCTGATCTTAAACACAAAAAAGAAGCTTACAAGAAGTGGAAGATTGGACAAATGAGCAGGGAAGAGTATAAAAATATTGCTCGGAGATGTAGGAGTGAAATCAGGAAGGCCAAATTGCACCTGGAGATCAGGAAGGCCAAATCGCATCTGGAGTTGCAGCTAGCAAGAGATATTAAGAGTAACAAGAAGGGTTTCTTCAGGTATGTTGGCAACAAGGAGAAAGCCAAGGAAAGTGTGGGCCCCTAACTGAATGAGGGAGGCAACCTAGTGACAGAGGATGTGGAAAAAGCTAATGTACTCAATGCTTTTTTTGCCTCTGTCTTCACGAACAAGGTCAGCTCCCAGACTGCTGCACTGGGCAGCACAGCATGGGGAGCAGGTGGCCAGCCCTCTGTGGAGAAAGAGGTGGTTATGGACTATTTAGAAAAGTTGGACGTGCACAAGTCTATGGGGCCGGACGCGTTGCATCCGAGAGTGCTAAAGGAATTGGCGGCTGTGATTGCAGAGCCATTGGCCATTATCTTTGAAAACTCATGGCAAACGGGGGAGGTCCCGGATGACTGGAAAAAGGCTAATGTAGTGCCAATCTTTAAAAAAGGGAAGAAGGAGGATCCTGGGAACTACAGGCCAGTCAGCCTCACCTCAGTCCCCGGAAAAATCATGGAGCAGGTCCTCAAGGAATCCATTCTGAAGCACTTAGAGGAGAGGAAAGTGATCAGAAACAGTCAGCATGGATTCACCAAGGGCAAGTCATGCCTGACTAATTTAATTGCCTTCTATGATAAGATAACTGGCTCTGTGGATGAGGGGAAAGCAGTGGATATATTGTTTCTTGACTTTAGCAAAGCTAAAGTCTTCCTGATTTCATTCCTACATGCCCGAGCAATAATATTATACTCTTCCCTGGTCAGTTGTCCTATCTTCCTTGACGTTAGCAAAGCTTTTCACACAGTCTCCAACAGTATTCTTGCCAGCAACTTAAAGAAGTACAGGATGGATGAATGGACTATAAGGTGGATAGAAAGTTGGCTAGATTGTCGGGCTCAACGGGTAGTGATCAATGGCTCCATGTCTAGTTGGCAGCCGGTATCAAGTGGAGTGCCCCAAGGGTCAGTCCTGGGGCCAGTTTTGTTCAATATCTTCATAAATGATCTGGAGAATGGTGTGGATTGCACCCTCAGCAAGTCTGCAGATGACACTAAACTGGGAGGAGAGGTAGTTACGCTGGAGGGAAGGGATAGGATCCAGAGGGACCTAGACAAATTGGAGGATTGGGCCAAAAGAAATCTGATGAGGTTCAACAAGGACAAGTGCAGAGTCCTGCACTTAGGACGGAAGAATCCCATGCACCGCTACAGACTAGGGACCAAATGGCTCAGCAGGAGTTCTGCAGAAAAGGACCTAGGGGTGACAGTGGATGAGAAGCTGGATATGAGTCAACAGTGTGCCCTTGTTGCCAAGAAGGCCAATGGCATTTTGGGCTCTATAAGTAGGGGCATAGCCAGCAGATAGAGGGATGTAATCGTTCCCCTCTATTTGATATTGGTGAGGCCTCATCTGGAGTACTGTGTCCAGTTTTGGGCCCCACACTACAAGAAGGATGTGAAAAAGTTGGAAAGCATCCAGTGGAGGGGAACAAAAATGATTAGGGGTCTGGAACACAGGACTTATGAGGAGAGGCTGAGGGAACTGGGATTGTTTAGTCTGTAGAAGAGAAGAATGAGGGGGGATTTGATAGCTGCTTTCAACTACTTGAAAGGGGGTTCCAAAGAGGATGGATCGAGACTGTTCACAGTGGTAGCAGATGACAGAACAAGGAGTAATGGTCTCAAGTTGCAGTGAGGGAGGTTTAGGTTGGATATTAGGAAAAAACTTTTTCACTAGGAGGGTGGTGAAGCACTGGAATGCGTTACCTAGTGAGGTGGTGGAATCTCCTTCCTTTGAAGTTTTTAAGGTCAGGCTTGACAAAGCCCCGGCTAGGATGGTTTAGTTGGGGATTGTTCCTGCTTTGAGCAGGGGGTTGGACTAGATGACCTCCTG